GGGAGGAAAGGAGTGGGTAGAATCTACTTAGACTGTTCCATAGACACAATTCAGTTCTTTGCTTTCTAGTCTATCCTCTATGGAAGTGCCCTTATCATTGTTTTCATATAACTTGCCTTTCTCTGGCCCTTTTCCAGCTCTGCTAGGTTGTTGGGTTTTTTGTGTGTTTTGTTTTGTTTATACTCACTTAAGGGTATTTTTTCCATTGCTTTTCAGAGAGAATGGAAAGGAGGGAGGGAGGGGGAGATAGATGGAGTAGAGAGAGAGAAACATTGAAGTGAGAGAGACACATTGATTGGTTGCCTCCTGCATGCACCCCGACTGGGGCTGGGGATCAAATTTGTAACCCAGGCACATGTTCTTAACCAGGAGTCAAACCTGCTACCCTTTGGTGAGTGGGCTGGTGGTCTAACCTCTGAGCAACACAGCCAGGGAGAGTTTGTTGGTTTATTGGTTTGTTTGTTTTTTTAGATGTTTTAATGAAGTTGCTCTTCTGAGTGATGTGTCTTTAGGCAGCACGGGATATTTATGCACTTAAGGAAAATGTTATTGCTGTTATCTCTTCCTGTGAAAATTTTTTTGTCCTTCAATGATTCTGGTTGCCCTTATGGACTGTTGTCTCAGGCAGAGAGTCAAGAAGTCCTTCCAATTGTTTGATTTGTCTGTCTTGTGCTTTTCCTAGTTCCTAAATTAAAATCAGCTGCTTGCCCATACACATACTTATTTGCAAATTGCTCCCAGTGTTCTGTCTGCCCCTGTGCCTGCCAAGATAATGGCAGGTTTTGGAATCATTTCCAACCTAATGCATCCCAAAGAAAATCGTTACCTGGGTATTTAGACCTTAGTGCCAGCCCAGCATATCTTGTTCCAGTAGTGTGCTCACATTGTTCTCTTTTGATTGGTTATTTTAAGAATTAATTTGTATTGGACATGATTTAAAGAAAGTTTCGTCTACTCGTCCTGATGCCTGTCAAATGGAAGGCATTCAATAAGTGTGGGATGACTGAAATCTGGAACAAACATGAAACTCATTGGGATGCTACATGGATACAGGTTAATTCCATCTTCAAGGGGAAATCCTCACTGGGCCTCATGAACCTCAGGTGTCAGCCTGCACACCAACACTTGGTACTTAGAGCATCTGATAAATTTAGAGCATCTTAATGGTTTTAAGTAGAGCTATTATTTTTCAGTTGCCATTTGTAGAGACACAGAACTTGGTCTCCAAATTGCCAGACATCTGGAATTCTTGTTCACATCAGAGTAAATTTAGAATATGCATCAATGGCAGAACTCAATAAAAAATACAACCAATTGGTGTGCATATACTCCCTAAACTGTTCCTGTTGTGCAGTGAGGTCCTGGGTGCTTGCTCTCCCCTCGAGATCTGAGACGCACATAGAATGCAGTTTCTGCCCTGTCCCGTTTGGCTCAGTGGATAGAGCATCGACCTGTGGACTGAAGGGTTCCAGGTTCAGTTCTGGTCAAAGGCACATGCATGGGTTGCGGGCTTGGT